TTTTTTTTTTTTTTTTTAATTAGGCTTATAATTTTTCTTTGTTTGTTTGGGTTTTTTTCCTTTTCCCATTTTTGGATCAGGTCTTTCTTTCTTTCTCATTGGAATCAGGCATAAAGTTTTTTCATTGCTTATTTGTTTTTGTTCCTTTTCTTTTTCTCTTTTTTTGGAGGATTTTTTTTAAAAATCAGGCTTATTTTAACAAACAAATCAAATACACCTATTTATAAAGGCCCAAACACTCCCCATTGCAAACAAGGGGGAACTCTGCAGAGGACTGACCTGGGGAAAGAGCAGCCAAATCACAAAAGTAGAGACTGCACACAGCATACACCAGAAACATTTCCTAAAGCACCAGGTCCTGGACAATGTATGATCCCTTCTTAATATAGCACTACTCTCAGGAGCAGGAAACAACAACCTTTCATAACACGGAAAAGACAGAAACTTAGACAAATGACAAGATGGAGGAATTCTCCCCAAAAGAAAGATCAAGATGTAACCACTGCCAGGGATTTGCTCAAAACAGATATAAGCAGTATCTGAACAAGAATATTGAACAACAGTCATAAGAATACTAACTGGGCACGAAAAAAGCATAGAAGACACCAGAGAAACGCTTGCTGCCGAGATAAAAGACCTAAAAACTAGTTAGGCTGAAATAAAAAATGTTTTAACTGAAAGGCAAAACCAACTGAATGTAATCACAATGGGGATAGAAGAATCAAAGGAATGAATAGGTGATATAGAAGATAAAATTATGGAAAATAATAAAGTTGAAAAGAAGAGGAAAAACTATTAGGTCACAAATAAAGACTTAGGGAACTCAGTGATTCCATAAAGTACAATAATATCCATATCATAGGAGTCCAAGAAGAAGAGCAGAGAAAAAGGGGCAGAAGGTTTATACGAACAAATTATAGCTGAGAACTTCCATAATCTGGGGAAGGAAACAGGCATTCAAGTTCAAGAGGCACAGAGAACTCTCATCAAAATCAACAAAAGCAGGTCAACACCATGATATATCATAGTGAAACTCGCAAAATACAAAGGTAAAGAGAAAATTCTGAAAGTAGCTAGGGACAAAAGGTCCTGAACCTACAAAGGTAGACACATAAGGTTAGCATCAGACATATCCACAGAAACTTGGCAGGCCAGAAGGAAGTGGCATGATATATTCAACATACTAAATGGGAAA